TTACAGATCAGCAGAAAAATAAGACTCTGCTGTGTAGATATGGAGAGAGAAGCCTTTGTCTCGAAAATCAGTTCTTCCCAATCTTACAGCTGGCCTGGGAATAGGAGTCAAATCACTGCATTTTCATACTCTGGGATGAAGTTCCAATCATGGTTAGGTACAAAATTTCCCAGTTAATGTATCCCAAATGTGTTTGGGAGATACTGGTGCTGGGCTCTGCCTGTGTACAGACCTTGGTGCCTGGAGAGGTGAAGCTCTCCTGAAATGTAAGTGGGTGGAAAGGTTTCACCGACCTGGCATTTTAGATCGGTAGATGTATAGCTCCAGGGGAACGGTTCTAGCTATCCATTTGTGAGACATGATTTGTATGTGTCTGTTCTTTGACAGCTTCCCTGAAAAGTATTATCAAGGATTAAACTGAGAAGGATCTGCAAAAAAAACAGAGTTCCCCTTATTAAAGTGGTGAAATATATTTGCAAAAGGTCAGAATAGGAGCGAAATTTTCCTTGCGAGATGTTTACCAAGCGTTAAGTCTGTTCCTTTGTAACAGAACTCAGAAGAACTACGTGCTGGCATTAAATGCAAGAACAAAAAGGCACATGACAAATGGCCCATCCTAGACAATAGGCAGTTTTTCGGTAGGGTTTGGTCTGACCCGAGCATGCTCTTTGGTTCATGTTGTAATCTCCCATCCTCTCCTAGGCTTTATCAAAGCTCCATTACTTTAATTAGGTCTGATAGGTTGTGATAGCAAATGCAAATCTAGGTCATTGCATATGTAAATGTGCAGCTGTAGTCCTGGAGGATGCCAAAACATATCAGCTGAGGTGTCCAGTCATCACCCAGTATTAACTCCAGCATGGCAAGCAGACTTCGTATGCCAACTAGGCTAGAAGTGGTTAGGACACCTGCATCTACCTTGTCAGTCTACTAGCATTATTTATTTTTTTCAGTTAAGTTGCTAGATATTTCTTGACACATACACAGAATATTAATTTGCATTTTAAACATGCGTTCATATTTTTAAAATGTATGAAAAACAAATGAATGGGGTCCCTGTTTCCAACACAGATCTTTTGCTTGCATTTGGATGGGCATTACTCCTTTGGGAAGATATTGGGTGCATGATGATTTGAAAGGTTACTAAAGATATGTAATGTGTCGGCTGTGTTCAGCTTCCTGCTTGGGTCCATCTAAAATACAAACCATGGGTTTGTGCAAACTGTTCCTTTTAATGCTGTGTAACTATCACTTCTATTGATAAGCTTAGGTAATCCTTAACAAATGGCTATATTTTCAACAGCTTGTTGTCTTAGTAGACGGAATCCAAAATAGCAGAGGAGAAGTCATGCTTCTAGGTGTACTCTATCCCATTGTTGCCATAAGCAAAGGCCCCTTTTTTGGACTGAGATGTGTTGAATTCTTTTGGTTTGAATGTTTCTTGGAATAGCTTCCTTTTTTAAATGATGACATCTGAACAGGAGAGGTGTGGGGTGGGCAGGCCCTCCCACACTGTTATAATGATCTCTATTGGTCGTTCTAGTGCTTTGGAAATATAGGAAAAGTTCTTGCATAACCTCCCAGTCCTAATCAGTAAGCCCGTCAGGAGAAGAGGCACCAATTTGCTGTCGCAGCTAAGGAACATCTTTTGATGAGGTTTATTTTTAAAGCTAAATAGACATGTTTTGCATGTTTAAACCTTTTTGGCTGAATATCGTAATCCTGAGTTAGCACAGTGATTTGACTGCATAACAAATAGGTGAATTAATTTATCCTTTATTGGGAAAGCACTTGTATAAGATCAGAATAGGAGATGATATTTATCCATTGGTTGGTGCAAATATGTCTGACCATATCCTTGTTCCTTCTTCTGAATTCACCAATGAAGAATGGTGCATCTGTCCTGAATTGGGTCAGGACTTGTCAGAGTGGAATGCAAATTGCCAGACTCTACACCAGGCACTTGTCAAGGGGAACTTTTCTAAAAGCAGATTTTCAAGAGTTGCCAAAGCTGTGAAGTCCGAATGTTGACAAGTATGGTTCTCTGTACGTAACCTCACATTTGCTAATATTAATGGGAGGTTTTGTGGGGCTGACAGTGAATAACTGAAATGACGCTCCATGGATGCTAAATCAGCTGTTGCATTAACAGTCTGGTGCATAACTGACAATCCTTAAGCTCAAATTCTTTTCTCCAAATAGTATCAGTGACAATATGTTGTAGTATGAGTGTGCAACATGAAGGAGAGAGACGGAGAGGAGAAACTTGTCCTGAATCCTTATTGTAATTGAACTAGTGGCGCATGATAACTTCTGAACATGACAAAACTTCAAACACAGCAAACCTCATGACAGTCGCATCCCTTTTTATAAGTGGGACAAAATGTAGATTATAACCCCTATACTGGATTGGATTGTGAAGGTGGGGAGAATAGCAGTGCATGTTCCTGTGTGCGCCAGTTTTTGGAAAGAGGAAGTAACAAAGTCTGAGGCAATAATAGTTGAGGGGAAATGCACCCTGTAATTAGCTTCCTGGTTTTCCATATGACTGACCTCACTGAATGAAAGGCTAGTTGTAAATTAACCTAATTGTTTGCCTAGGCTGTTGCCCTTGCCGTAGACTTCTGATTGGTTTTTTTTCAGCCTGGAGTAATCAAATCCTTTCCAAACACTACAGCAAGACTGTTTATGGGCTCTGGGGCTGGAAATTGTTCTTATCCAGGGCTTTGCTTCCGAAGCAATTACTCTGGGTGTCACTCTGGCAAGGGGAGTGTTTTTGCTCTTTTAGGGCATTTAAGCTAAGGGAGATGATGAAGATGATGATGATGGCCTCGAGTTAAATTTGCCACTGTCTGCTACTTTCATTATGAAATTTGGAGCAAGTCTGATAGCTCTATGTTATTTTTTTTTGGTCTCAGCTGGAATTGGTAGGTACTTCTACATGCACATTATAACAATGGTACATTCTTGACGGAAATCTTCTCAGTTTTAATACTTGCGTATCCAGCTGGGAACATCTGTGACGGGGGCATTCTGCAGACATGTAGGAACGAAAAAGCTTGTGGCTATGAACAACACAAGGAGTTGAAGGGGACACGGGATGAAAGGACTTTGCGCTGTCATTTGTGGTGTAGAGCTGCATTTTGTATATTGGGTCACCTTTAAGTAATAAAACCGAAACTTTCACCTTCCATAAGTGTGCAAGAAACAGGCTTTTCATTGTTTTCTATGTTTTTTGCATTGTGGGTGTTTTTTGAAAATGGTTCTTGAAATTGGTTTTAGCTGGCTGCGCATTATAGTTGGTATGCTAGTTTGTGAGTTGAGTAAATTAAAAAAAAAATCTGATGGAGAAGATTTGGAAGTCTTCTGCTGAACATGACATTTTGTAACAGCTTGTATGATGTGTATATAATCTTGGTTACAATACATCCATCAATTATTTTGGGTTATGGGTCAGAATTAGGCACCCAGCTGTAAACCCAGATGTATTTTTTTTTTTTTATTTGTAAATGCTAGAATGACACTTTTTTTTTTTTTATTATTATTATGTTGTATACCTTAACCTATTTCTGCTGGTTTTCTGCTCATTAAGCTATCAACAATTTTAAGGCCTGGTAAGAGAGAGATTTTGTTTCATTGTCGCAAATGCAGCATAATCAGAAGCTTCTGGGAGGATGTCTCCTTAATCCTAAAGCCTGTGTTGCCCGTGGAGCAGGTTAGGTAACAGCAACAGCAGCAGAAGCTTCTTTCCTTCAAGTGTACAGTCTCCACAGCCTATTTAGTCCAGGGCACCTCTGCTAGGATTGTCAACTGCAGATTCAATTGTTAATAATGACTTATATTAAAAGAGTGAATTTTTTGAGGGATTAATCTACAAGCTGGTCTAATTACATTTTTATTTTGTGATGAGAACTCTTAAAAGCTTAAAATGGTCTACTTGGCATGCACAGCAACTTTAAGTCATTAATTTTCATAATTTCTTTTTTAAATGTTGGTTAGCACTCCTGTTAATTATAGAAGAGACCAGAATGGCTCGAGGGAGCAGTTCCTGGTCTATAGAGTACATAATGCTTGTTATGCTGCATATACCTGCCTAACTACATATTTACCTGAGACTGCTCGAAAGTGGTAGTCAATCTGTCCCTTGTGAAAATAATGTACAAAGTTGATTTGCGGGTGAGTAGCTGGGGAGACAGCAGTTTGGGCCTAATTAGTTATTTACACAGGAGACTGGGACTTTTTCTTTTCTTTTCTAAGGCACTAAACTAGATGCATTAGTAACATCAATTGCATTAAGACCAATAATTAATATATTTACAGACAAGCGTAAGTCAGCCTAGATCCAGCTCTTGCACCTCAGAAGTAAAAGCAAAAGTATTAAGGTGTTTACCACTCTACATTTCCTTATATACATTTTTATAATCATTGCTGTTAACTAGTATCTTCTGTTTTACATTTCGATTTGGGGTTTTCGTTAATTTGCAATATTTTAAAGTGAGGAATGAAATTGTCAGAAATTGTCTGGCTTACGCTGGGGCATAAATTTTGCTGTTGTAATTACTACAAAAGAACTGAAATCTGTAGGTATAAAATGAGGAAGTAAAAAAAGCATTTGTGATGAACTTGGAAATCATATGGTTTATACCTGTTGAACAAGGCCTGTTTGCTTCCTGTAGGCTAATTTTTGTGGGTAGCAAAGGAACTTTTCGGTTAGGTCCTGAACTTTCCCCATTTAGTGCCCTTGCATGGTGCAGCCTGTCATAGACAAGGGAGGTTGCTGTCAGGCGAAGGAATCCAGCCTGCTTCCACAAGAGGAGATTTTTGTGGCAGACCCATGCCGTCACACTCTTAACCATGCAATATTTTCATCCTTGTGTTATCAGTAACGATGGAAGTTGCAGCATTGTGAGCATGGAGCAAGAGAGTTGGAGAAATCTCAACTCACTGTGTTCCCACTGGGTTTCTCTCATTCACTGACTGTTTTATTTCTTTTGAATAAGCAGAGGCATCTGACGTCCTACCCATACCGCTGCACCTTGGCAGATTTTCAGATAGAGAAAAAGATCGGCCGAGGGCAATTCAGCGAAGTCTACAAAGCAACTTGCCTTCTGGACAGAAAACCTGTGGCGTTAAAGAAAGTTCAGGTGGGCATTCAAATGGAAGAGCGGATGGTTTTATGGGTGAAAGAGACCATTCTCAGACTTCTGCTTGATTTTTCACAGATTTTTGTAGGCGAAGTGCCTTCTCCCCGTCAGAATTCTCCCGCCAGTGGAAAGGATGGAAAGGGACAGTTCATAGAGTCAAGCCCTGAAGGGACGATTAGATCATCTGATATGAGCTGCAGATCACAGGCCACGAATTTAACTTGTGTATGGCTAAAGCATATCTTCTAGAGAGGCATTAAGTCTTGATTTGAAAACATCAGAAGATCTGAATCTGTTGGGGTACTCCACTGGTTAATTGCCCCCATTGTTTAAAAAAAAAAAAAATTGTGCCTAATTTGTCATTTGAATTTGTTGGTGTTTGGCAGTCTTTTTTTTCCGTCTGAGTTGCCGCAGTGGATGGTGGTCACCGTTGACTCCCATAGACAGGAGCAGTGTTAGTGTTGTGGTTGTCTTCTATGGGATTTGTGGAGGCATGGAGATAAACTGATTTGTCTTAGGCTCACAGTGAGTCAGTGCCATAACTGGGAGCAGATCCCAAGGGCTGGTGTTCAGTACCTTTTTTTTTTCTAAACCTGTCCCCTGAAAAAACGTTTTGACATGCACCATGCTGGGGTCTTTTGACCCCAGCTGTCTTTCCTGCCCAGATGCAGGGGGGCTGGACCCGATGATCCTGTGAGGTCCCTTCTAGCCCCTAATGTCTAGGAATTATTCCACTCCCAGCAGACAAATCCAGCTCGGCTCCTGTCCTGACTGAATCAGAGCCAGTGTGTTTGTGCCACCCAATCTTTGCCCATTGGGTCTAGAATTGGGTAGACCTCTCTAATAACAGTGATGTGGAGCTATTGTATTTTCATGCCACTTTTCATTCATTTTTTCAAAAGGATTTGTCTTGTTTACTTTCGGATAACACATAGAAAAAAACCCCTAACAAAAAATCCCAGAGTGTTGATTGGCATAGACATGAAATTAGGAAACTAACTTCTTGACACAGGACTAGAGTATGAGAATATGGAGCATCATGAAAGGTTGACAGAAAAGGGGCAGATGGCTGAGGACATAAACTCAGGGATGGAAAGCCTGGCTTGCTGCTCTTCTCAAAAGAACATCATTGATATCTGGGAATAGGGGAGCAGCTGACATGCTCGATTAAAGGTTTTCAGTGGCCAGACTTTTCACTGATGGTATAAAATTATAGAAAGAATTGCTTTTTATTTTTATTTTTTCTGTACTCATTAAATGATGTTTAAAAAAAAAATCTGAAGATATTTCACACGCACGCTGCAAGCTTATATCTAGTTTCATAGTTTCTAGGGTCGGAAAGGACCTGAGCAGATCATCTAGTCCGACCCCCTGCCATGGCAGGAAAGAGTACTGGGGTCAAACGACCCCAGCAAGATGTTCATCTAACCTCCTCTTAAACCCCCAGGGTAGGAGCCTGCACCACCTCTCTTGGAAGTTG